TTGTTTTATTAAACTATCGAAACTATTGAACTATCGAAACTATCGAACTATCGGAAAACTATCGAAACTATCGAACTATCGAAACTATCGAACTATCGGAAAACTATCGAACTATCGGAAAACAATCGAACTATCGAACAATCGAATCTATTGAACTATCGAAGAATCGATACTATCGCCTATCGAAGTTTTTTTATCATCTGATATCAGTGATAAACTGATATCATCAGACAAGTGAACGCTTATCAATTATATAAATTATCAATTACTGTTTAATGATTAATTTTATTTAATTAGTATTAATTAAAAAATTATTTAATTATTATAAAAATTAAAAAGCAAAGGAAATAAATAGCAATGTCAATCCCGAAGAAAAACTCTTCTATTGTTTGGAAGCACTTTCGAAGGGACCCAAATACTCCTGATGAGGCCACTTGTTCGATTTGTAATAACAAGTACAAAAGATCTAACGGCACAACCAACTTATTAGACCATTTGAAACGTAAACATTTTACTGTATTATGCCGTGATGAGTTACAACACACTGAGACTGAACAGATTGAAGAAGATAGAAATCAACCTGGTATGTACTATGTGATAAATATTTAGATTTTACAATTTAGTATGTAGATGCTAGATACTATATTATGTTATAAATTCTAAGGGAATTAATAATTTATGCTAAGGTTTGTGAGTATTCTAAATAAATATTTCTTTTTTTTAAATAGGAACATCAGGGGAACGACAATCTACAGGTGTTTTCTCTCCTTGTAATAATCCAGTTATGGCAGTAACCAGTGTTGTTGAACCAGTATTAAAGAGGCAAAAACAACTTTTATTGTCTAATAGGTAAGAGTATTGTATTAATTTCTGAAAATTTTCAATACGTAGTACAATTTTCTTATTACCATGTTAACATGTATTTTCTTATTTTTTAAAGCTAACTAAATTTCTTTATATGTTTTTGTATATTAAATTTAAGTGTATATGCTGGCATTGATTTCTATTTAAATTGTAAAGCTTGTCTGTTCTATATTATGCTATATTGTACATGTTTATGCTTAACCTAGCCAATAAGTCTACAACGTATATCAATTGAATATTGTGCATTTGCCATTTACTATTTGGTAAACAAAAAGTAAGTAGTATTCACTTAAATGTTGCATGTATCACTATTTACTTGGATTTACACTAACTATATTATTATTACTTTATCTATATATTGATTTGTATACTGTATTCTTAAATACAAAGAATTAATTATTTTAATTATTTACAAATCTCATATTTAATTTTTAGTTTACAGGTTTATTCATTATCCAACTGGTTTGGAATGCAATTATTTATTAAGAGGACTTCACAGTCAAAACACACAATTTTAAAACTGACTTTGTCTGCTATATAAGTAACATGTTGAAAAAACTTAAAATTCAATAGTTTGGCTTATCAGCAGCATAAGTGTGAAGTATTTCAAAATAAAAAGAAGTGACTTTATAAATACTTATCTTAGTATATTACAAAACCTTTTTCAATGGTTTAAATTTCAAGTTTATATGTGATAATAAGTATTATTGCAAATTATCATACAATATTTTTTGTAGTTGATTTAAATACAATGTTTAAATTATAAAAATAAGTAATAACATTGACTGTTATTATACACATATTATGTTATGTTGTTATGTTATATTTTAAGTCTGGCATTTTATCTCAGTAGTCAGTATGTCTCATTTTTTTCTTTAAGATTTGGTACACCGTCGGAAAATCAAGTTAGAGCGTTCCATGAAGCTATTGTGAAGATGATAGCTGAAGACCTTCAGCCTCTTTCGATTGTTGAAAATTCAGGATTTCGTAGTATGATACAGCTTTTGGACTCCAGGTGATTATTAAATAATAAATAAAAACTTTTAATATTTCAATTTTGGATATTGAGCAGAGTGATGAATGTATTTTTTTAACAAATCAAAATATTAAATATTATACCATTTATTATCAATATTATATTACTCTAGGTATCAAACAAATATTGTTCCAGAACCTTGACTTAATGGTCTATATATTCAATTTTTTTTTTTTTAATTGTTTCAGTTAGAGTAAATAAAATTGCGGTAAATACTAAATATACAAATGTACTTATTACAGGTATGAAATTCCCAGTAGGAGATCCCTTGGAAGAACAATAATACCTAGAATATTTTCAACAGTCCAAAGTAAAGTTGAGGCTTTGTTAAATGAAGCAAGACATGTAGCTATCACAACCGACATTTGGACGTCAATGAATACAGATTCATATCTGACTATGACCGTTCACTTTCTAAGTCAAACCCAACTGAAAACTTTAGTGTTATGCACAAAAAAATTAGACTGTAATCATACTGGTGCAAATATTTGTGAAATTATGCGCGAAGAATTAAATAAGTGGAATATTTTTGAAAAAGTTGTCGCAGTGGTAACGGATGGTGGAGCAAATATTAAATCTGCAGTCAGGCATATGGGACTGTCACATTTACCGTGTACTGCGCATAAATTAAATTTAATAGTTCAAAAAGCATTAGAATTGTCAGATAATGAAGAGATTGGACCAGATGACAATACTGATGAAAGTGATCTAAAAAAAATATTTAAGAAGTGTCGTAACATAGTTGGTTTTTTTAAGCGAAGTGAAGTGGGTAACAGAATGTTAGTCGAAAAACAGAAGCAACTTGGAAACGAAACGGTCCTTAAATTAAAACAAGATGTACGTACTCGCTGGAACAGCACATTTCTCATGTTAGAACGGCTAATTAAACTTAAAGAACCACTCACCATAGTGATGATGACTTTAAAAGGAGCTCCAACTAATCTCAGCTCCGAAGAATGGAATATAATTGAGGATATGATACCATTACTAAGACCATTTGATAAGTTAACTGTTGAGCTCTCTGCAGAACATTATCCGATGATTTCAATGGTTATACCATTAATACGAGGTAATTAATTTCATGATTCTGTGTTTAACTTTTGTGTTTTCTATTTAATACTTCAAAATGTCATTCATTATTTATAGGTCTGCAAAGTTCATTAGCATCAAAAAATCCAAATACGCAACTTGGAATATTCATTAAAAATAGATTGATGGAAAATACTACCAAGCGTTTCGATAGCCTAGAAGAACAAACTTTAACACCACATTTTTCTAGGGCTACATTGTTGGATCCGAGGTGCAAAAAGGTTGTGTTTGGGTTGGAAGTAAATGCCAAAGAAGCAGAAACATGCTTAGTTTCTGAAACAGCTGCTTTAATTAGTAATGTTTCAAACACTGGTAAATAATAAATATTTGTACTTAAATTTATGAAATATCATTAAACATAATTACTAATTAGTGAACTAATTTACATTAGTATGATATAATTTAAAAATAAATCACTTATATATACACCAAATGTAATTCATCATTCTAAACATTTTACAAAAATATTATTTAGCTAAAATGTGATATGATTAAATCTTTCTGTAGAAAAACTGCAACCAAAGTTGTTGAGAATTTTAAACAATCATATTTTACTTAATTTCAGAACAAACTACCCATACGTCTGAAGTAAATCTTGACACCGATGGCGACAATGTGTGGAATTTCCTCTATTCTAGAGTTTCAAATGTCCAGTCTCAGACAACGAGTAGAAGTAGTGCTACATCCTTAATGAGGCAATACTTAAGTATGCCTCATCAAGATTTGAAGTGCAATGTGGCTGAATTTTGGAATGACCACAAGACTGTGTTAGCTCCACTAAGTGATATAGCATTAAAATATATTATAATTCCAGCAACCTCAGTGCCAGCAGAGAGAATTTTTTCCAAAGCAGGGCAAATATTAAGCGCTCGGCGCAATAGGTTATTACCCAAAAATGTAGATCAATTAATTTTTTTAAACAAAAATATTATGTAAGTTTTTTTTTATTGATACACAAGTAAGTAATAATATATTATGAAAAGGTATTTATCTATTTTATTATGAAAAAAGGTATGTATAATTTATATTTTGTATTTGAAAACTAAAGTAAAGTTTGTTATAGTTAAAAAATTTTTTATTTTTTTATTTTACAGATAATATTCAACTGGTTTGAAAGTCCAACACATTTTACCTCTGGAAGGTCATATAAGGGTATTTACTATTTACTAGGTTGTACAATTTGTATTCAAAAAAATCTCTGGAACAAGGTTTGATACTTAATTTGACACATACATTTGCAGTTTTAAGTTGATGATACATATATATATTGCTGTGGTGAGTATGAAATTTGGGGTGGATAATTGACAGCCTGCTCGTGGCCCACCCTGCATACAAGTTTTTTTTAACTTGAATCAATGTCAATTGTCATTATACATAGTACTACACGTATCAATTTTAATTATTGTAACATATCAGAATCCCTTAAAACTGATGATAAACTAATATGAAACTAAATAAAGTTAAATATTTCAAAAATAAAAATAATATTTTTTTTTCTTTTCTTTTGTTGAAGCTCAAAATATCCAACTGGTTTGGATAAAATGTGTGTACTGAATAAGTGAATAGTGTTTAGTTATATATCTATTATCTAGTGTCCCTCAAGTACAAATCCTATACGGCATATTATAAAACCCTCGGTTTTTCCTAATCACAGTTATCATAAAATGTAACCTCATCTATTTTCATTTTCTTTTACAATATCTAATAAAATTCCTAGAGAAATACATTATTTTTATTAGATTTGTGAAAGCTCATGGTAAGTTTTAATTTTTAAAACAATATAATATTAATATACACCTAAAGTAATTAAGTCCTTATTAAGTACTTATGTCCTTCCTATGTCCATAACATTTAAGAAACTAGAACATAACACCTTTTGGTTTTTACTTTTTACAAAATGCTAAATAGTTAATTGAGTTTTTAAAAATTGCTAATATTTTATTTAAATATTTTATCAATATTTTATACTACCCTACCTAGTTATTAGTTATAACTTTATTAGGTATTCTAAAATATAAGAACATTGTTAATGTTAATGGTCATTGTGAAATAAAAACGGCCCTTTTGGTGAGGGGAAGGTTATGTACTTATGTGCGGAAACTGCAATAAATGTTTGAAATACTGATAAGTTTAAATCTTTGTTGTTTAAAAATAATAAAACTTAATAAGTTAAACGCATTTCGAGTGTCCATTTGTCCAACTTTCTCGTTCCAATATTTAAAAGTTTAAAACTAGTTGGTAGTTACTAGTTTGGTATTGACTATTGGTATTTGCCATTTGCTACTTGGTAGTAGTGTGTTGTTCTGTGGTAGTGTACTACTATCAGTACTATCAAGTATCAATCGAAAAATCACTCGATAGTTTTCCAAACTATCGATAGTCAAAACTAGTCGGTTCCACTAACGAATGAAAACTATCGAGTAATTCATTCGATGGTTTTAAAAACTATCGATGAATAATAATATCTATTCAATCGAAAAATCACTCGGTAGTTTTCCAAACTATCGAT